CAAACGACTAAACATGCATTGGAGGCGGTGCACTGTCTTGGCGCCGCCTTGGGTCAGTTGGACGGTGGTCGAGCGCGCTGGCGAGACACGCCAACAAGTCACCGTTAAGAACCCCATTCACGCTGTGCTCCAGGGCCGCTCACGCTGCCGGACCGATGTCGCGCGGATTTTTGGTATTTGGCTGTCGGGCTCTGCCCGCGCTGCACGGGTGCAAGCCTGATAGCCCCACAGTAATAGTGAGGGAGGATGCGGACAAAGAGGCCGAGCTACAGGATCCGAAGACACTCGCACCCTGTTGACCCTGATTTCACTCTACCCTACCGCGCTTGATTTTTCGCTGATGCGATGTCAAGGGCTGCAGCTGTTCAGACATGTCATCAATTATTCCACTTCCCTTTCGCCTCTCCTACAACTACCGGTATCGCTCTCGCCGCTAGTAGACCCACCAATATATGCCCGCTCCACCGGCAAATTCCCACCCATTCCTGGGGGCGCGCATCTCGGGCTCGATGGGGCATAATACACTCTTCTCCTTTTCTCCTTTTCTCCTTTTCCTGAACCTTTCCACCTCGGCCTTTCCCGGCCGACGTACTATACATAAATTTATGATGCCAATAGTAAACTCGAGTACCGGTGCTCGAGCATCTACCCTGCCAGTAGACTATACGATACTTGAAGATCATCCATCCTACTCGAGTCCGGGTGCGGTCGATAGATATTTTGTCACGTGATTTTGAGAATGAACAATGCTGAATTCGTGCTGCACTGAGAGTGGCACGTGACTAATTTATCTACCGGCCACCTGGGTACTCGAGTCCCGTGCGCCCGCAATCACCCCTTCGTCCCACATCGCCACTCTTCCCCTCGTACCGTTATCTCGCAACTCCGCCTTCTTCAGTTTACCTCACAGATGATGCACTGTTACTACCTCCCAGACGGGACTCTCCCCAGCCCCTTCCTATCGCTTGCCGTTTCCAAAAACCCACCCGTCTCCTCTTCGCTGCTCCTCGCCAACCATCCTCCTCTATTGCCACCCTACGCTTCAGGCTCTCCTCCTTTCGCCCCTCTTCCTCATTCACCCTCAGGCCTCCCATTATGCAATTCTACCTTATCCATTTGGCCCTCCTTACCAGGTCCGACGACTTCTCTCCACCCTCCTCCACAATGAAGCAATATGTGACCCCTATTCTCGACCCCCCCCCCACATGCATGCAATCCTCTCCCTTCCATATACTTCCATATTTCGGATACCCGGACAAGTACGTTAGTCGCAGGTGACATCCGGCGGAAGTTCTACGCGAGGCGCCAAAATTCAACAGCCACGCTAACGCTATACCGGCCTTTCACGAAGTGAGATCATTTACTATGTTCCTTCGGCAGTGGGGAGGAGGATAGAGCTTTACGGTGGAGAATCTAGGGGCGCCGTAGGGGGCCCCGAATCTAAAATGTCGATACTCGAGTAGACTAACCGTGCCGGTGGCTGATCGTTGCCGCGCAGGGTGAGGGAGAGAAATATCTCAGGTCCACCAAGATGCTAGTGGGGTCTTTCTTGCGAGCATTTGCACCCGCGCGGGCATCCTCCTCGCCCTTACTTGATAGTTGGTAATTAATAGCTCATCCCACTTTAAGCCCTAGAGAAGCCTCGCTTTAGTACCCCATACGCTCGTAGCATCACCAACCCGGTCACATCACAGCCCATCACCGCTCTTCCTCCTTTTCTTTCCCTTATCTTAACTTACCTAGAGGAGTTTGGGACAACGGCCCTTCCCCCCCGGCAGGAGAAGAAAGAGAAGAAGAAAAGAAAGGAAAAGCAATGATGCTGAGTCAGCAGCACAGTGAAGCGATCCTGTCTCCCCCGATTCTAGTGTTGTCGGGCTCGCCCCTGGTTTTTGAGCACTGGTCGATATTCCAAATGAGAAGATTTGATTTAGTACGCGTTCCGCAGGCGTGTTTTTAGTGAGACCCGGGGCTGGAGCTATGCCCATCTGGTGGAATTCTATGCAATTCATTTTTGGTCGTATCTCGCTCTTGGGCGGTGGGTCTATCCTGCACGGGCGAGGGTGGCTCCATGTAGGCTTTTGCCAGAGGGGGGTAGGCCGGGTTTGCGTTTCGCGGTCGGAAGCCGTGGTACATGTTATCTCACTGGTGGAGGTTCCCGCAACGCTTTTCGGAAGTATTGTTTCAACGTGTCGGAAGAGTGCTCTGCTCAGAACATGTGGATTCCCCATTATATTTAGACATAAGGTATAGCTATCTCTAGCGCATGTAGCAATAAGGACGACAATGAACTCAAAGTTCTCTACTACCAATCAATACCTTCTACTAACTCCCTACTTTGCTCGGCCGATTACTTCCTCTTTTATCTCACTTCGCACACTCGGCCTCCAACAATGCTTCTTGAGCTTGAGGTGTCTTGAGATATTTTGTCAATAGCAGAAATTTTTATTTTCGGAAACTAATCTTTCTCACGGGAGCGCACGTGACCGAACCGGCTTAAGGCAGTGTGATGATCAGTGCCGACTGTGGGGGGAAGAGAACGAGGCCTGTGTCACGGTAAACAAACACATGTACTATTAAATCTATATTCGACAAAATGTCAGGAGCTATTTGAATGAACATCACCAGTCACTCGTGGAGCAAATTGCCAAGCACTGTAATCCCGGCTACATGTTTCGCCACAGACGCTTTTACCTGCTGTCATGCTCCGATCACCGCTTTCACGCTCTAACCCGGGGAAGAAATGCCCCGGGCGTTCTCCGTACCACTCCCATGACACCCAAATCCCCACGAAGAGATATTGCGTTGTCTTTCAGGGCTGTGGTAAATACGAGAGGATCGAAATCCGGTAAGGTGGCTAAATGCGATTCCGACACAATGTAAATTTACCTCCCACCAGGGGTTTGATTTTTGATTGTTTTTTCCTATCATTGGTGATATCGACAGCCGTGTCCAGCGGTCAACGTAGGGCTTGCAGGAGCGATAGGTGTATAATACCAGGAGGGAGGCATGACACTGGCAACATCCCAGATATCAATACTCGCGACAATCCTCGGGCATCCAATAGAGTACTTTGTGCTCTGTCTCAGCCGATCACTTTGGACTAGGATGCGGCGCTGTATTCGAGCGCAATAGGCGCAACAGTCCCATTCTATACACTTAGAAAGGTGCGTTGTGCAAAGAGTGTATCCTTTTTCGGGGCACTATATTTATTCGGGCACAGTCGCATTCCGACTCTAAAGAGACGGGAGAAGGAAGGAATATCCCGTGCGAGATTGAGAGCTGTGATTTTACTGCTTCGTGGACCGCAAAGGTATGATAGATATTAGATTGTGTCTGGGTATCTAAGGTCGTGACCATTTTCCCCACTTCTGAATGACTAACGTTGAGGTTAGAAATACCAACCAGTACTGTACAAGGGATGCGGGATGAGGAAGGTGGGTAGGAAACGTGAGAGAAGATATAAATTTATGGGGGGTTTCAAGGGGTGGTAGGAGATCAGATCAGGGTGAGGATAGCTTTATATCTTTGGAGATGGAGACAGGATAACTGAAAACAGTAGGAATGTTTTTGTTTTTTTCCGAAAGTGAAAATTTGGGTCACCCGGAGTCTATAGATGTATGAAAAATGAATCACTGATCCCCAAATTCACTGAGCTTCATAATAAACGATTACCAGTGTGTTGGGGTATCATTACTCAAGGTGCGGGGAGGCACTAGTCCGCCCGGGGATCTTTCCAAGCTCCAGGAAATACCGCTAGATGTGCACGATAATCTCAAGGTTGTATCATCATGGCATCACGAGGCCACAACACCACCGATCCCCAGCCCAGTCAGCGCTTTCAAACCATGCCCGGACCAGCCAGAATCGTCATAATTCCGTCGGGGGGGTTTATGGAAACTTAGTTAAAGCACTTTTGACGATAAAAGCAGGATTCACATCCCACCGGCCCCCGTTTACGGTGATGACATGACAATCCCCTTCGCATCCAACCTTAGCAGGATGGGAGATGCACCGTCCACCCATTCCGATGGGGGGTCTATCAGGATCGACAGACAATCCACCGGTCCGGGAACAGCTTGTCCGGTCGATCCACCGGATGACCCGGGGGATTTTATTTTTGTTCTCGTACGCTATATCATACTCCCCGTCTCCACGAGTACTGTTCTGCTGGCTTGGATACCGTCAATCGAGAGAATGAAGAAATATAATAACCTTGACCACCCTTACACCTTCCATGCCCCATAACAGTCGAGTCTCCCTTCGATTCCTATCACCCTACCACCGCGCTATCAATCGATAATAACTCCAAGACTTTTCCCCAGTCCATGTCAACACTTGACAATAAAAATGTTGCGTGGTACGAAAAAGATATAGGCACAGTCGAACGCCAATATTTCCGGAGAAATGCTGCTTTGTTTATTGATTCCATTTTCAGTTTCAGAAAGTACTCGTACTGAGGTTTTCGGGGGAATGCCGTCATATTTCTGGATTTGTGCTTCCGAGCTGCGGGCGAAGGAGGAGGTAGGAGATCATCTCATTTAGAGGATCAATTCGGGGATCTCGGAGATCTTATGATGTACCCATTGGCCTCCCACCGTATCTCTCTCCCCGATAGTTGTTTGATTGGTTTTTTATCAGGCCCTAGCTTGATACCGGATGGCTGAGGGTTTTGGGCGTATGGGGCGATCATACCTTGTCACTCGCTATGAACCTGGTGAAGTACTATGAAAAGGTTCTAGGGGCATGGATGTGAATATTGCTACTAACACTGCGGGTTGCGTGCCTACCGGAGTAGGAGAATCTGATCTTGCTGCAGTGGTGATTTATGTAAAAATCTCTACCTCGTTATTAGCACACGCAGTTGTGGGAGTGGCTGGTAACATCATTCTTTCAAGCTTGTTGCACACAGTACCAAAGCCTATCCCCATTACTTAGGGTGACACCCATACATGCATACCATCTCCACCCAGTTAAAAGATACAATCCTACAGGCCATCTCCTCAACTCAAACGATATTAAAAACTAACGCACAAAAAATACATATTGAAGGAACAAATCCCTCCTTCCCCGGCCCCTATATATCCTCTAATCATGATATTTCTACCACCGCCTATACGACACGGACAGGCCTTGGAGATTTCATTGACTGTTAAATCCCGCGTTCCCTCAGCCTTCTCGTTTTAAGATCGCAATAGTTGCCGCTGCTGCTCGCTTGATTGGCGGAGATTGGCTATTGGATCCTTTATCCCCCGCATCACCGCCTTGCCTATGCGGTATCGGAGGCCGGATTTCTGGGGGCTGCTGGAGGTGCCGAAATATTCGGTTCCAGCACAGTTGGTAGCGGAGGGGAAGCCGTATTCGAATCCCTCGTGCTGGTCGACGATGCCTGGCCGGCCGGGTTTGTCGAGTGTGTCCCAGTCGGAGACGGTGGTTGTGGTGAGGGTGGGCAAGGAGAAGGAGGCCGCAGTAATCCAACCGACAGGGGTGCTGTTACTGGCTGTATTTCAGTTTCTTGGCCTAAGGATAGAGGTCTCGGTGGGGTAGGTGCGACTGGCGCCCGTGGTCCTGGACCCTCTGGGCACACTGGGGGCTCAGCTGCCGGGTCTTGTAGTGGCAATTGACGCTGGGTTCCCTGAGGAGCTAAATTCTGTGCCAATGATTCTGGGCAAGGGCTAGGATCCGTAGATATTTGCGGAGGTGTTGTTGGCATCCCATTCGTTGAGATGGCGCTGCCAATGATAGAGGGGTAGAGTAATTGTGATACACCGGGTGAGCGGCTCGAAGTCTCTTCTTGCAAATAAAGCGTAGGCGAACTCTGATTCTCGATATCGCCTCTCTTTCTCCTGGGATATAGATTTAGTTCCATTATAAGGGCTCTAAATTCTACCGCTAGCCCACGCTTCCAGGTGATGGGCAGTATTAAAGCGAGTAGCGTTACCGTAGTGAATGGGAGCGCGAAATTCCAGAAATCAATTTTGGATAGGGGATCTTTGGTGAATTCCTTTATGTTGTTCATGCCGAAATACTGGCAATGCTTCTTGTCAGAAAAACACCCATTCCACGGACAGGAGGTAAAATACCGAAGTGCAAAAATTAAGAGGGAGAAAGACTATAGTAACGAAGGTGAAACCAAGCAAGGCTTTGTCTTGCTCCGCAAGTGTGGCCTGGCTCTCCCTGATAGTATGTTCTATGCGCTTAACCGCATCTATTGCTTTTTCAGCGTGGCCAGACTCTAAGAATCCAATGAGCTACTAGGTCGTCAGCACTCTTGTTGAGATTAGACTTGGGATTTATACAATTTTTCTCCTGATATCCATATTCTCTACCAACTTCTCGATTTGCTTGATGAAAGATTTCCTTTCTTGGACCGCCCCACAGATAGCATCCAAGGTATTCGGCCATATCTGCTCAGGATTTTTAACCGGGACAGGAACGGGAACAAGACCCTTGGGGAAGAGATTAAGCCGGAGTGAAGATCCTTCCTCGCGATTGCTAGTTTCCGATCGGTAACTTTCCGAAAACACGCTGTGTAGGCCCTGAAGAATCTCAATTTGTCTTCCAGCAACAGTAATAGCGGCAAACAAGTCCGCCGAAAGTCTGTTAAGAGAGGTGAGGATTTCTGTGCGATTGCTGTTCTGTCGCACTGGCTCGAGTTTGGGGGATACCGTTTCTAGTAGTAATTTTAGGGGTGGCAGTACATCAGCGGAAGAGCTCTTTCACACCTTGGTCATCCGCGGGGGTCCTCGCACCTGATATCATTTGATCGATATCCTCCTCCTAATAATCCTCGGGAATTAGCCACAGATATCTTCAGCCACGGAGAGAATAAACTAACAATTTTGCACAGGGAGGCTTGAAGGCTTCCTGCAACTGATAATTCTGGGTCCATACGATTGGCAATCATATGAATCATTGCACGGATGGCTCCGGTACGCTCTTGAAAGCGGTGAAGTGGAACCTTATCTTTAGCGCTATCCTCTTTAGATCTAAATACTGCCATTGTATCTTCAGGAACTGCATTAGCAAGGATGCTTGAGTCAGCAGGAGACAGACAAAAAGTATAACTTACTGTTATCAAATATCATATATCGTGCCTGGTGCACTAATATCTCTCCTATCTCAGTTCTACCCCCCCTGGGCACCCGGGGCCTCCCGCTTGGGGAATGAGCTCCCAGGCGTTTGAAATCTAAGAGTCTGACGCTCTCGCTCTCCGCGCCCAATTGGATCTCACGGCTAGATTTCCCGAAATACGGAAATGACACAAAAAGCATGAGTCTATCTTGGGACGACCCTGACCCGAACAGGCTTGATTGGCTTTTGAAAGGTACCCGTAATGAAATACCAGTTCTAAACCCTCCACGACCAGGCAGTTTTTGAACTCTTTTCGAGTGTGCGTCTTTGAAAGTATTTGCATTTGGAAGGCCGAGCTTTTCCGCCATCGAATTTAGTAGATTACCGCCCTGCTTCTAGTAAGGAATTACCGTAAAAGATAAAATTAGGGCTACGCCGCACGGAAACCTACGCTCGTATCATAACATTGGGGAAAGTCTCTTGAAAAAAACAAATATTAGCATGTAGAGGGTCGCCTGGAAAGGTACATGCAGCAGAGAGTTCTTCAAAATCGAAATGGGCGGCGGGAGGGGCTGGGAAGATAAACCTACATGATACCTAACCGGGGCGCCCGCGCCTGCATCCAAGGTTCTTTGGTGGGGTTGATGGTTTGGTCAAATTGTTTGGACTTTATGAGCTTGTCTTTGGACACTCGGAAGAATACATCGTCCGTGCCAGGGTGTCCCGGGAAAGGACCGCCGCCCCCAACCGGGGGATTGCCATCCACCCGACTCAGATAACCCGGATCTAAAGAATAGTCAAAAATCACGACATCGTCCTCTTTCCTATCCTTCAACTTTTCGCTTGCGAGACCAGGGCTCAGATGCAGGAAATCTTCCACATCGTAATAGTCTTGTTGTTCACCGATGGTTTCCCAACCATCAAAGTGGCCCTCACACCCCCGGGAGAGGGTGCTCAGTGGTAGTGACGGCCGTGAAAGCTGGCTCGCGGATTCCGGTAACGGTTCGGGGGTCAGGCGAGGAGGCTCCGGCGCAGCAGCAGGGTTCCCGTCGGGGTCGTCCATCTTGACCAATTAGGGAGAGGGAGTTTGGGGGAGGAAAATAGGGGCAAATTCCTACATTCTTACTTGTAAATGCTGGCTGTCAGTTGGGGAGCTCCATTCTTATATGATGCCTGTACAGGTACAAGCAGAACATTCACTCGGGCGGGGGCACCCACAATCCGGGCGGCTCAGGTAAACGGTTTGACAGCTTCGCCTAAACAACAGCTCCTGGGAAAAGGGGGAAGGAGCAAAATTCAGAGGAGGGGCAAACAGCCACCCCCCCCTCGGAAAACGAAGATCGGCGCATCAACTTTATCTCTAGGCAGGCGCACACAAACCAAATCAGGCCTCGCTGCTGCCACTGCGCACATCACCATTCATTGTGAGAGACATCTCTAGCCGAGGAGCCACGCAATGTATCCTAACCCCGGAGTGAAACATAAAGACCTGTCAACACAGCTTCAGTAAAATAATGACTCCTTCGGGTAATGGAGCGGACTGCTAACTTCACACCAATGGGGAGATGTAAATATATTTCGTCTTTGTGAGGCTACCAGAGCATAAGGGGCAGGCGGATCGTTGGTGAAAAAACAATAAACGAGTGGTAACTCGTGTACTCGAGTATATTCTTCGATACACGTACTGGGTAGAGAAGTTTGTGGGGCGTGAAAGAGTGTCCTGCCTAGCAAGAAGCATCGGTGCTCGAGTACAATACTCGTACAGTACCTAGAAGTCAGGGTCACTCACTTCATGCGATGAGTTCCACATCAACAGAAGATTCTCTGAACATGATTGGACCATGGGGATGCGGCAAGTGCCGCAATGGGGGGGCAAAGAGACACAGGAGGGATGCAAGGAGTTCTGCCAGGAACAGTGCAGAACTAATGGTGCGGTAGGAGGGGCCTCGCCTATCCGTGAATTGCCTCCTGGAAACGATTCCCCTTGCGCTAGAACCAGTTTCTCGGGCTACCATCCGTTCGCACTTCCTCGCACGGATGTGCATCCTCGATACCAACTCGAGTACCGGTGCTCGTGATTGCTCCACCCGCTGCATTCCGCAAAGTGTCTGAGGCTGTGGGCGGATTCTTGGCTGTACGAGTATGCAGTGGCTATCCGTTTTTACGAAGGCCGCCACATTACTCATATGAGTACCGTACTACAGTAGTACGAGTACGGTACAGACGCTACCCGAGTACCTGAGGTGGCAGACAATCCTTCAGGCGCTGTGCTGTACACAAACCAATCATGGAGAAAGACTGCACGGTAGAGTACTTCACTCCCCCCCCGCGCTCATAATGCCTGTCGGCCTTCGACCAGGCTGCACGGGTGTACCGGTAAACGTGATAAGCTAACAAGCGAAGGCAACGAGGAAGATTATGCTCGCAGAAACACGCTCTCTCCCCGCTGGACGTCCCCTGGACTCGGGAAATGGAGCAAAAGACCCAGCTACGGTACCGGTGCCCGAGAACGGTCATGTTCTATTGCCTCCCATTTTACCCTATGGGATTCTCTGCCGCCCCGGACGTTTTCTCAAGACTCGTCGAGAGAGCGTAAAAATTCGGGTCACGGTCCTGGGTTCCTTGTGTTTCGGATCGGTTATGGTTCCGCTCGTAATGATCGACATTGCGTGTCATTGGGCCTTGCACGGGGGGGGGAAACCAGGAAGATCACTCTCGCCTACCGGTAAGATAGAATAATGAAAAAAGAAAACTGTCTTCGGCGAATTTTTTCTTTCTGGGAATTACAATATGGGCAAGGAAGTCGGTATTTTCACTTCTGGATTGTCGTGTTTCCTGTTACTATTTAATGTATCAGTGAATACTTGGGTATGGAATTCAGATTAGAATGTCGAATGTCCGAGCCCACGAAATCTCAATCCAATTTTTACCCTTCCACCCGGGTTGTGTACTTGTACGAGTACAGTAGTAACAGTACCTACCGTACGGTATTTAAAATTTTCAACCCTATGTCATACCAATCTGGAATATCACTGCTGTCATGCTCACTACAGAAGGTCTTACCGGGTTATCTGATAATGACCTTGATGTGAATCCTAATTATGATACACAGAAATTCAATATAATCCTCACTATTGCTCTTCGTGTGGGTTTGCCATTCCCTCTCTCTTGCCATTTTTCAACAGCTTATAGCAGCCTAACAAGACATGATGTCGACAACGCGGCCCTCCCACACTGCGGCCGCACCTCTTGGCTACGGGATCTGTGTGATGAGGAAATGTTTCTGCATATTTTCAGTAGAGTATGTCATAAACATTGTCGCGTTCTTGAATTCCCCAAGCATTTTCTCTTTGATTTATCATTAGCGGGGCCATAGCATTTTGGTCGCCTCTACCTTAGTCCCTTCCCTCATGGAAAACATATTCACTGTCCCAGTTCACCACCTGGTACCGATATAATATTTAACATTACGGCTCACTTGGGCATACGATCAAATCTCCCCAATAACCTTCCTTACCACCAGTAGTACAGTCCCCAACGCAACTGGCACAAGTACAGTGCATGTATGCCTACTTGACCCGCACGCAGGTCCCGATTGTCTCCTGGGGGGTGGGGGTCCCTGGCTTGGCGAGGGAGGTTGAAATTTTGCTCCCGTATGCGAGTTTTGCGTGGGTAGGACGTGGCGTGGGAAATCGAAATCCAGTACAAGTTACCAGACTGTTTGTCGTGGTTTCCTTCGCTTCTCCAGTCTTTTGTTTTCTGCTCTACCGCCCATTTAGACCTTATATGGAACGGGCGGAGGCACACCATCCTCACAGATCATCATCCTCCGGAATTCTCTAACAATTCAGAACTACCCGGATATCTCGTAATCCTCTATAACGCCTCAAATCGGTTGCCGTGTGGCTAATGATGTAGTATGGTGTGAAGGCGACGGCACAAACAAAAGACCCGATCCTCGATACCAGATGGCAAGTGGTATCACCAGAACTGAAGCCTTACAACCGGTGCCTGCCCGGATAAGATGCACTAGCAACAGGCCACTGTCCTGTATCTGCTCACGGCACATCGCAATTTCCACATGACCTATTAACCGCATAACTTACCCCCTTACTGAATATCTCCTGACAGCATGCTCATTAAATTAGGCAACCTATCGCTGACGACAAGACAATAGAGAAAGCCTTTGGATAGCTGTTTTCGGATATGCTCCTAGAGATATTGTAAACTGTATCGCGATTTGTTTCACTAAATAATGGGAAAGAAGGGTAGCCAAGTGCTTCCAAGAACTGTGGGAGCTTGGAAGGGTACGAGAACTCCACGAATGCGACCGTACAAAGGCGGTCATCTATGGCCGTGGGTGCGATTGCCTCCGGAAAATGTAGCAATACAGCGAGGGAACTCAGCCCTCTTTACTGCCAATATATACCTAGAAATATCGTCCTACTGGCCACGGTCGATTACTTCCCCTTGGATCTCTCACTTAGCACACTTGACCTCCAACAATACTCCTCGGTGTGGAGAAAACGAGCTCATGGATTCGAGGTGTCTCGATATATTTTTCCAAAAACGGAGGATTCTTTTTTTCTGAAGTGACTGTTTCGTGCAGGAACCCAAGTGATTGAGCCATCTTACTGCGATGCGGTATACCACTGCCCTTGAACACCATGGGACAAGTAAAGCTGCTGGTATCACACTTGTAGAGTATTTTCCCCTGAACCCTATCCCTATTACAAACTTTTCCGGAGGTGTTTGTTTTGCACATGGTCATACTTTGATCTCTGCTTCACCATCTAATTGTAGAGGAGGAATGCCTTGAAGAATGCTACATCCTGGATACAATATCCCCCAGATTTGAGTAATGTAATAAGGCGCAACGAAGGATATGAGAGCTCTGGTTTCAAAATCTTTCCCGGGACCAAGTCACACATGGGTGATCATCTCACGGCTGTGGTCACAGGATCAAACAACATACGGGTACTCCCGGTTCTGGCCTAGTACCCTCCCCCCCCCCCCTCTCCCTGCATTCCGCCGGGCAGATAGCGGTTCCACAGTTGCATAATCACTTTTGAAGTCTAGTAAAGTGGCTCTGATGATACTGGTAGTATATTGCGCCAGAGTCGAGATACCTTTGGTTCAGTACGGACTGTAATAGCTTGAGGATATCCTCGTGCTAGACTTCTGTGGTGCTGGGGAAAGTCGCCCTCCAGCTATTCCGATCCTTCCCTTCGGGATTATCAACCTCCTAGCTCAGAAGCAGCATCTCTGCACCCATCCAGCTAGAATTTACTATCCGAATGAGGGGATTTAGGCAATACCGGCCAACTGAATAGACGTCAATATTCTCTCAAACTGTATAGGAAGTTTCTCTGCATCCCATCCACACATTGATGGAAAGGTACGTTCCGCGTATAAGATTGACATGGTTGGGGTTGACCCCCCCCCCCACCCGGATATGCACCTGTTGGCTTCCCACGGTATTATATAGTCCCATGGGAAGAAAAGCTTACTTTCTTGTTTTCTCTTCCCCATTTGTCAAACCTTGACTTAATATCGGATAGCGGGGGTTTTCCGATTCAGGTTGACCACAACCTGTCACTCACAGTAAAGTAGGGTTGGATGTTGAAACATGGCTTCAGACACTACCAGTAACGGATATTGTGGCATCGTTCAGCCTATTACTTTTTCTCCTTACATCAATTCGTATCCCAGGCACACATCTAGGCCTCCGGTACTATTGAAGATACCTCCTTACATTTCTTGTTACTGTTCGCTCAACCTTATTGTCTCGCTCACAATAGTAGATAGCAAGAGCTTCTCGCTCTTCCTTTCTAGACAATTAAGCATTCATCATTCTCTATCACACAATCTTCTTTGCCATGCAAAACACTCCTCACAATACTTTCACAATATTGGAACTGCAGGTTCCAAGTTTTTGTAGTTTACGGCACGATGTAGGGTAGTAACTTACCACGAACCATCCGGACGCAGTTAGCCCCGGCCGGTATAAAAACAAACAAATTTTAGATCTCAATGAAAGTATAAATTTAAAAGGGCGGAGGGTCAGCAAATAGCCTACAGAGAGGGGAAGGGAAGCCTGGCTTGGGGGGGTTTTTTTTTTCTCGGATACGCGGTTAGTCCCCGGAATTTTGGATAGGAATATCATATTCTGGATCCAATTTGGCTTTTCCCCGGTACTGTAGCACCCTCCTGCACACCAGCCTGACCATGGGCTACCAGAGCCCGGTTCTGTAATCGTCTGTCTGACAATCCCCCGATCTCTGCAGATCGGCTATCCAAGATCCGCTTGGCTAATCGGCGATTCCAGCGGCATTGGCTCTTATGCCAAGAGACGCCGTTACTCAACATCAGATTTTGTAGTGCTAGATATCGCTTTCTGGGACCGTATCTTAGAGAGGTAAATTACCACTACGGTACCCTAAAAGTAGTATCCGGTAAGGGGTAGTACTGTAGTTTAGTATGCGGACCCTTCGGTGAAGGGCCGGTAATGAGTTCAAGATTGTATGCATGCTAAAGTCAGTAGGATGTACGGAGGTACAGCTCTTAAGTTTTGTACGTTCCGCGAGCAAGGGGTGTTCGGCTGGCAGGGGGTATCTAACGCGAATTAGGGGATTTCAGCGCGGATTAGGAAACTTTCACCTGAAATTGCCCAATTCGCCGCCTATACCCTCGGTAGCCCAGCACCCCCTGCTTGTAGATCATACAAAACTTAGGAGTTGTACCTCCGTATGATACATGGTGTAGCTGACCTGATGGGCCATACCACTGAAACAGAGGGACCTGTTCTTACCGGGGTAGCGGGTAGTCTATACTTTCCCTACCCCATCGTCTGCTCACACACACAACTGCCCCGCTGGCTGGTAGCAACATTCTTTTGATCATACAGCTAGACCCTAGTACAAAAGTCCATCCCTGAATAGTATACACGCTGTGCCCACCTCCACCCAACAATTAACAAAATATAATCCTGTATATATTCACCCTATCCTAAACAGCATTAAAAAAATAATAAGGGTACGGGAACACGCATTGAAGAAAAGAATTACTACCTCCCTCAGTCCCCCGGTTCTCCAATCTTGATACTTCTGCTGCTAGTTAGGCCTAGATTACACCCAGTTCTCGGCATCAGGCACCCTGTGCAACTGGAATAATTTTTTTCCGACATAACGTAGTTTCCAGAGATATACCCTTCCCCTCCTCGCCAGTCGACGTTTCCAGACGATGACTACTAGTACTATTAGCATTACTCCAACACATGCTGGACCCGCAACTTGCCAGAAATCGAGTAGGGAGTGGTTCTTTTGCTCGAATTTCGTACCGTTGTTCATACCGAAGTACTGATAGAGTTTCTGGTCAGAAATATTTATGCCACGCACAGGGGGTAAAATACCGAAGTGAAAAAGCTGAGCGGAAGAAACACGGAAGTCACAATAGTAAAACTAAGCAACACCTGCACTTGCTGTAAGTGTGCGTCATGGGCTATCCGCTCTAGCTGCACACGCCCGTCTCGGGCACCCTCCACTTGCAGCGCAAACGCTGCCTTGGCGTCCTTGATACTATCTTCAGTGCGCTTCGTAGCCTCTGTCGCTTCTTGAACAGTTCTCTCAGTGGGGGCGGCAATAGCTTGATCAGACTTCAAAAATCCAAAAAGCTGTCGAGTGTTAGTATTCTTATTATGAGTTCAGATAGGAGAATCATACAATATTTCTTCGAATATCCATAATTTCGACCAACTCCTTTACTTTCCTAGTGAAAGATTTCCTCTCGCGGACCACATCGTCAATTGTGTCCAAGGTTTTCGGCCATATCTGGCCCTGGTTTTGTGAAAGGATAGGGATCCAGGCGATGTTCTTGTGGAAGGGGTTCTGCCAGAGTGAGTATCTATCATGATCTTTAGATTTTGTTCGGTAGCTCGTCAAAAACACGCTGTGTAGGTCCTGGAGAACGGCAATCTGTCGTTCAGCAACGCTGATAGCAGCGAACAAACCTGCCGAAAGCCTGTTCAGGGAGGTGAGGAGTCCCAGAACTCTCTTCTGCTTCCTCTTCTGAACGTTCTTGAACCGGGCTCGTTCTTGATCCTCATTCCATTTCTGCAATTCCTCCTGAGTAAGGTCGACTCCTGGTGGTGGCATTTGCGGTTCATCGGCTGGGATTCTCTGTATCCCTTGATTATCCTCGTAGAGTTTTGCATCTAATATCATTTGGTCGATGTCCTCCTCCTGACAGTCCCTGGGAATTAATGCTAGATTTCTGTAATCAAAGGAGGGAATAGACTAACTATTTTGCACAACAAGGCTTGAAGCTTCCCCAATGTCCACAACTCTAAGTCCGTGCAATTGGCAATCATATGGATCATCGCACGGAAGGCGCCTATACGCTCCTGAAAGCGGTGAAGTGGGGCTTTATCTTTGGCGATGTCCTCCTTAGACCTGAACGTCGCCATTGTATCTTCGGAAATCACTAAGCCAAGGTGTTTGGGTCCACAGTAGGTGAAAATGGATGACTTACAGTTATCAAATATCATGTATCGTACCTGATGTACTAATATATCGCTTATACCACCTCTCTCCACCTCATTTTCCACGGCACCACCGTCATGAACATCGGCTCCCAGGCGCCTGAAATCCAAGAGTCCAACGCTCTCGCTTTCTGCGTCCCATTGAATTCCAGCACTAAATTTCCCGAAGTATGGAAATGATGCGAAAAGAGTGAACCGATCTTCCGATGGACCTGACTTGGGGGACTCCGCTGGTTCTTTGACGAGCACTCTTAATAAAATTCCCGTTCTAAAAACTCCACGACCAGGAAGGGCTAAAACTCTTGCTGAATGTTCGTCTCCGAAGGTAGCCTCATCTTCGCCTGGAAGGTGGAGCTTATCAGCCATCGAATTTAGTAGACTACGGTCCTACTTCTAGTAAGCGACTGACTCAGAAGTGGAAACCACAAAAGCATCGGGCAGCAACTTACACTTGTGTCATAACATTGGGGAAAGTCTCTTTAAGAATAAGCGATCCCCTCAAACGTTAGTACGTAGAGGATAAATCCGACCCCAATGGAAGGCGGGAAGGTTTATGCATGGCGGCATTTACCATAGCCCGAGGGGGTACTGAGAATGTAGATGGAAGATAAACTCACAGGATGCTCAACCGTGACCCCCGCGATAGCGCTAGGCGAGGTTCTTTTGTAGGGTTAATTATTTGGTCAAATTGCTCGGACCCTATGAACCTGTCCTTGGGCACCCGGAAGAATATATCATCGTCCGCACTAAAGCGCCCAAACGAAGGACCGCGAGCCTCATCGCGGTGGTCTCCATCCGGGCCACTCAGATAACCCGGGTCAAGTGAATAGTCAAAAATCACAACGTCCTCCTCCTCTCTGCCCCTTAGCTTTTCGACCGCGAGGCTGTGACCTGGGTGTAGGCAGTCCCGCTCATCGTAAAAGCGTTTCCGTTCACTGATGGCTTCCCAACCAACAAAGTGGGTTGCTGATTCCCGAGAGAGCGCACGAGACGACCGTGACGACTCTGATGACTGGTAAATGGATCCCCGCGAGGTTTCGAGAATCGGGTGAGGCTTTGGTACAGCAGCAGCGCTCGTACCGGGGTCATCCATCTTGGCCGGCTGGCAAGGAGGTGTTTGAGGGGGGAAAGAGAGATTCGTTGGGAGCTTTATTCTCTTGTACACTTGTACTAGTACAGGATTCAGTGGAGTCAAAAATGCTTCCAGCCCAGCCGCTCAGCCTAAAAGATTTGACTCTCCTATGTCTGCAGCTACGGCTCGTGCGGGGAGGTCGTCCCAACCCAATCCGAATGAGGGGGGAACCTGGATCTGCTCACCAACTCGATCCGCGTGTAGGGACTGGTCATGGAATAAGGAACTAGGATAATACGGTACCTGTACTTGAGCATCTGAACTGAGACAGTGTTTTTTCCCCTGTCGGTTTGTTATGTAACAATTGCCGTACTTGAACTTGTCCCTGGAAATTGGAGCTACTGTACTCGAGTACAAATACAGGTAGTACGAGAACCAAGGAAAAAAGATAGGTGCGGAGTAAGGGTGATGATGTTGATATTGGTCGAAAATAGTACCGGTAGTGTGCTATTGCTAGCGTGGCTAGGTTCATAAGGTTATACAAGTATTCGTAGCTAATTACAGGAGCACGAGCCCTCCATTGCCTAACAAGAGCCTAGAGAGAGTTACGGTACCGTATTCTTTATGGACTGAATTAGAGGCAGTGCTTCCAGTCGTCCCGTCCGTCCAAGACGGGGTGAGGACGACGAAGGACGAGACTGTCTCGTCCTTGGACGGGACGGACTGCCTTGGCGCCGTCCTGGACGGGGTGGACGGCCGTCGACTACAGACACGCAAAGTTGCGCAATGGAACAAATACTAGTACCTAAACAAGTTAAGAAATAAAAATAAAAAATAAACATAAAAAAGAGCTGGCGCTTGAGCATCCTACCAGGGGTAGTAGTGGGACTGGACGACTGGAAGCACTGATTAGAGGCCAGGCACCTGGCCCATCAAGCATGCACCCCAAACTACTCGTAGGCCCAGACAAAAGGAAACAGGAATCCTCTTGGGTCGACCAGCTCTACTCGAGTAGTACAGTACGGTACTCGAGTACAGTACTACGGTAGTACTGTGAAATACCGGGGCTTCCGGGTGCTCGCACGAGTGATCTACCGTAGCTAGGGACCCTACCGGTTTATTACCTTGACCCTTGTACTCGAGTACAGTGCTCGAGTACAAGTACCCGAAAATAAGAGTCAGTAAAACCGGTGCCGGCCTATGGTACAAGTACTAGTATAAGTAACAGACAACAAGTATCCGCGCTCCGTTCACCCGTAAGCAGTCCCCCCCGCTTGTAAGATCCCGAGAACAGGCCGGGCGGATTTTGCACTTGGGTATTCGCACTTAGATAGGCATTGATTCTTACAATATATTTCTTTAATCCCCATTTCAGGTATCATACTTGTGCCTAAGACAAGACTTTTTCAAGAAAAAAACAGGGGGTAATGTAATTCACTCGACTGCGTTTCCTAGAGCAGCGAGTCACTGAAAAACACATACCAGCGCCACCCGAAAAAAAACTTTCTTTCAGCCCTCAGCTACAAGTAAGACAAACAAAAAGGAAATAAAGACAAATCTTAGTCCCTTAAAAACTCGAATAATTAAACCTGACGCTAGGACATCCAGAGTTCTGCCTCTTGGCGGAGACTCCTCAGGCGGGGAGACTGAGCGCAACCCAATACAGACATCTTTCCTAATTTGACAACGCCAAGCTGCCTCCTTTCCCAAAAGAGGATTGCAACAAATATTTCTGAAAGCGTTGCTTACAGTTTACCATGAATATTCCCACCACGGAATCAAAAATTAAGAATATGGAGACCATTAACTCTATGCACTAGAAGGCCTCTTGGAAGCATTCCATTTTTTTGTTGAAAGAACCTGGTTGTGTAGCGACCGATTTTTGTGTGCGGTGTTGTTTTCTCCAGTAATTTCCAAGTCGCTTATTATGCGCACGGTCTCCCCGCCTGAGGAGACTCCCCCCAAGGCCGGGGGTGGAGTTTCAATCTTCGGCAATTGAGGAACCCTATGCATGCGGATAGTCGACGAACAGGTGATTGGCGGTGGTGTACCGTAATACGGTCATCGCCGACTGCGCATGTTTCTACTACACACTCTCTGTGCGCACGGGCGGGAGTGCCCAATTAAGATCCGGTGCAACAAATCATGGATCAGTAAGGGAGGGCCCGCAGGGAGGGGGGAGAGGTTGGGGGGGGGGGGGGTTAGGGGAGAAGAGGTGTAGTTTCTTAGATGGCCACTATTTTCGCATCGTGGTAAATACGGTGGCGGCACACTTCAGAAGCCACTACCGGTACCCTACTCTCGTCCGTGTTGCTTTTTTTTGGTCGTTCCGAGTTCTCTCCATTTACTCCCTCCCATATTGTCTTCTTCTAGCTATCTACTAACCACATTACAAAATGTCAATACCCGCAGTTCTAGTGAATCAGGACCCGCACAGAAACGGGGCATTGAGCCTTGATGGTGCAAAACAGCTACAGGGAATCAACCTGGAGAACCGGGAGAGAAGCGGCTTAGATTTCCCCGACCGTGCACACGATCCACTTGGGAAGGAAGTCAGATCACTAAAGGCAGTCCCGTCAAGCAAAGATATTGGGGAGAAACTCAAGGAAGTGGTAGCGACTCTCTTGCCTGGCTTACGGGGCATGTATGGCAGGACAGAAGAGGAGTTGGATGACAATCTGGCTGTGCCAATTATTAAAGGAGAGGAAATGGCGAGAAATTTGATTAGGGAGATAGGTTGCGATTATGAGACTGCGAAAGATTTGACCGTGCTGACACTTTACGATGTGGCAATCTTAATTGGTATGTTCCGATACTGAAATATAGTCCTTAATATCATTATTTTTGCCCATTGTTGAATAGATTTTTAGGCGACACCGATTCCATGGTCCTGGAAGAAAATGGCGCGAGGAAGAGGGCCCTCATACAATATGTCGACGGCATCACGGAAATCTGTTCGATGGCAAAGGAATCCGGCATCCTTGCCATGCACTTCATGAACCGTGGGCGAGGCAAAGAAAACTGGACCGGGAAGTCGCAAGAATATCTAGATCAGCACAGCTATGGTGGTGTGACTAGGATAGGAACCGCACTTAAGAAGAAGATTCTGGATAGATATGCACTTGGAAATCCCGATCAGAGAAAACCCCTGCTGGTACTCATTGTCACTGATCGCGCAGTATGCTTACCCCCTAAGTTTCCTAAGGCTATATACTAACTCTCGGAATACAGATTGAGGGTGAGAGAAGAGGACATCTGAAGTCTATCATTAGGGATTGCGTGAACGAGCGTGCTGGGGTTGGCAAAGGGTTCGAAGGTTAGCTGTGGTAGGGTTTTGGTAATATACTTTTGCTCCCATGCTTACCAAAGGTTCACAGCTATAACATTCCAGTTCTCACGCGTCGGAAACGATTATGGTGCAGCCCAGCTATTGAGGGCGCTAGGCCAAGATCCAGACCTCGCAGAATTCATCAATGTGCTGCCGGACAAATTTGATCTCGAACTCCAGCCGGCAGATAAGTGGATTGTGGTGTGTCCATATCTGCTCTCCGAGCTCCTCGATTTGGAACGGAAACATACTAACTTCATATTCGTTTTTGAATATAGTTGCCTAAGATCTTGCTTGGAGCAATCCTACCCAAGGTAAGGCCTCCCCGCTCCAATTTTCCCGTCCAATAATCCTCTAACAATGGAGAACAGTGGCATCAAGCGGCTCACAGAAATCTTGCCAAGATAAAGGGCAGCCTTGCCGATAAGGGGAAGAATGTTGCGGGTGCTGATCCTGAAGACTGGTGGGAGTGAAAACTTTTCGGGGTTGGCTAATCTCCTTCCGGACTGGCTGTCATCATAATTTCCTTTCCCTTCACTGATTCCGGTTCTGCACGAGCAAGGGGTTTCGTTTTCATTTCGAATGAAAAAATTACCGCAAGCTCCTCACCCACCTTAGAAGATTGGATAATCGCAGACAGTACCTTACCATTATATTCAACCTCATTAATAAACTTAATCTTGCTCAACCATTCACAGACTATCACTCGATGTCTACCCCAACTAACCTCAGGCACCTATCTCGCGCTAGTAGAGTGGGCGAGCATAAATATGATCCCCGGGAATGGGTAGGGGGAAACTAGCCAAACCCGCTCAGAATAGCAGAATGAAGGACTTGTTCAATATGCTAAGGGAAAAAGCATAGAATAATGGCAAGACTGTTGAGTGTATATGGGCAAGGGCGGGTGATGTGATATGAACCTGTGAAGGTGTTGAGTGCCGGGTGATGATCCTTGGTGTGGTATGCACCATTGGAGGTGAGGGTTTGGACGCCCGAAGGGCTTGAGGTTGGAGCGAGTAGTCACACGTTGTTCAGTGTCTTGTATTTAGCTTGCAGAATGGCTCCTGCAAGTAGAAACGAAGTTCCTTTCTCCTCCACTACCATTATCTGTCCGTCCGCCCATCGATCCCACATCACAGCAAAGACCGAAGGGGGGGTTCTAAGATGCTATCGAGTGAGCTGAGCCACCTTCTAGGAGGAAAGAGATTGCATGTCTGAGGTGGGGCCGTGGAGTTAGGGTTGGGTATTGGATTTGAGAGCTATCTTGAACGCAAGGGATCCTCAGTTCTTATATGAACCACCGATACCTCAAAACCCCCGGTTTGTGGTGAAATCCGCTCCATCACACTCGCCTGGGAACCGACCCGGTCAAGCCGCTATTCCCTTGGCTAAGTAGCGGATCCCTGAGAAAGCCCGAATATCTCAGTAATCAAGTAGAAGGTTCACCGCAAAGCGTTTCCCGGCCCCAAGCAATATATGTAGACCAACATCTAGCACCCGAAGTCTCACAAGGGCTCAAGGCACTGCAGATTCCGGCCTACCATCCCCCCCCAGCCTTCCTCGGAGCACAGAGCAATTTCACAATTCGATCATGACCATTGGCAGAATTTCAGTTTAGTGGAGTTCAGGGGCCCCCGATGATATGATACAGGTAATCCATCAAATTGGGTTCGACATCTTCCTGACTCGGCGGTCGCCCGACTACCTCTTCACCATCGGCCCGTCGGTGCCCTAGGAAAGTGTAGTCCGACGATCTTCACTAGACTCATCAGGATTAACAATCCCCGGACAGAAACAATTTGAGTGCACCCACCTGTCTATGAGCTGCTGGGGTCAAATTACGGGCCCCCGAAAATACCTGTGCATTGAACAGGCATCCGTATCCTCCTGTCCCGCTATCGTCCTGGCGATTCCTCCCACCACATCTCGGTGCGCAAGAGGCGGACCTCAAGTTGGGTAGGATTGAAGCATCGTATGGAAATTAGGATATGCGCTGTTTGTTCCCAGCCACATTCTAGAGAACAAGCTCGAGTTCAGCTACGGACTCTAGATCTCACAGAAATATATAACGACAGTCTGGAGCCAACGCATAAGAATCTTAATAAGCCCGGATGTGAAAACTTGACTCTACAACTTTTTTGCCTGCCGGGCCCTTCTCATATCCGTTTTGGTAGTGAATAAGGAGAGAAAAAAAAAACATAAAAACCTATGATACGAAAAGATACAACCACCGATATTTCAAGAAAAATGGCGGTTTTTTATATCCATCTCAGAATGTACCCCATTTTCAGGAAATATGGCTATGTTTCTGGATTGGTACTAAACGTGCGGAGCAGGGCTTTAAGAGAAAGAAAATTCTTTTGTTTTCGATGATCGTTCCCCGAGATCCGGGAGACCCCGCAATAGTTCTATGCAGTCGTTGGCTTCCTGCTAGACCTGCGCCCAGTAGCACAGTACAGTACAGTATTTGGTTTAGATTTTTATTTTTTTATTGTTGCTATTGTTGAAGTCTCGCTTAGTATCTCATGGAACAAACTTTAAGGTGCTTAGAGTGATTGACACCAGTCACTTAGACGAAAAATGGGGTATAAAAACCCCCAAGGGAGGGGGCATGAAGGATAGTATGATGTGAATATTGTCGCAAGCCCCTTGGGATGCTGCGCTGCTCGCTCAGAGAACCTTGTTCACACTGGGGTGGCGGGTGATAAAGGGTTTACCATCCGCTTACCCGGCTGTCGGGGTGACTGGCCACAGCATCCTTTTAACCGCGTCACTATACAAGTAAAAGCCCGTCCTCGCCAATATCCTTGATAAGCTACATACCCGTCTCTACCTAACCGACAATAGAAGGTATAAATCGTATAAGTCACCTCCTTGCCTGGCTAAAAAGATTTGAAAACTAAAGTATAAAAATAAGCGTTCAAGGAACGAGTCGCTCCTTCCCCCAGTCCCTTATCCTTCAATCCTGATATTCCCATTGCCTATACGGCATAGACAGAGCTTGGCGTGTGGGTTTCTTGTTCATATCCAGCCCCCCTGCCACCTCCCCTTCCCCGTCACCGGATCGTAATGCCACCGCTGCTGCTCGTTTTATCGCAAAGCGGGGTTTGACGATTAGATTCTGTCGAGCTCCTAATCGTGTACTCTCTGTGGACACCGGGGGGCTAGGCTGTTGACTCTTGCCCCCACCGTGGAGGTTGAATTCCCGGAGTGCCTGAATCCTATGCCGTCGGTTCTGAAGGAGGGTCTGGATCTGTAGGCGTTTGCGGGAGCGGCTTTGAGATTCCACCCGCTGGGGTGGTATTGACACCATAAGGGAGGTGAAGTGATCTGGTCGAACCATTCAAGGTCTGCGCTTGCGAATCAAGCGCAGGTGAGCCCCGGTTTTCGATATCATCTGTCTTTCCCTTGGGAGATTGGCTTAATTCCTTTGTGAAAAGGGTTCTGAATTCTGCCACCGACGGGCGGGTCCAGGTGATGAGTAGCAATGATAGTAATATGACTGCCGTAGAAATTGGGCCTGCAATGAGCCAGAAATCACGCAGGGATAGAGGAATCATCTCGGACTCCGTTATGTTGTTCATGCCGAAATACTGATAGGGTTTGTTGTCAGAAAATACTAGTATCATGGACGGGGGTAAGATACCGAAGTAAAAAAGTTGAGAGGAAGAAACACGATGGTAATGAAGGTGAAACCAAGTAGAGCTTTGTCTTGCTCCGCAAGTGTGGCTTGGCTCTCCCTAATAGTTCGTTCGATGAGTTTCATCGCCCCTGTCGCTGCTTCAGCGTGATCAGACTTAAAGAACCCAAAGAGCTGCCGAATCGTTAGCACTGTTGCTGAACTGAGACCTGGGAAGTATACAATTTTTCTTCTAATTTCCATATTCTCTATTAACTTCTCGGCTCGCTTTATGAAAGATTTCCTTTCCCGGACCACCTGGTTGATGGTATCCATGATATCCTGCCGCATCGGCTCAGGATCCTCTGCCAAAATAGGGATCAGAGCAGGATTTCCGTAGGAAGGGTTCCGCTAGAGTGAGGACCTCTCGTCGTGATTCTTGGTTCCCGCCCGGTAGCTTGCCAAAAACAGGCTGCGTAGATCATCGAGAATCGCAACCTGTCTTTCAGCCACACTAATAGCCGCAAACAGATCCGCCGAAAGACAATTAAGGGAGGCGAGGAGCTTTCGGACGGCCTTACGTCTCCGCTTCCGTCGGACTCTTTCATCATCAGGAGCTGACGTTTCTTGTGGCAATTTCAGCAGCAGCAGTATCAGCGGAAGATCTATTCCATACCTCGATCACCCTCGTGAGTCCCCGCATTTATTATCAATTGACCGATATCGTCCTCCTAACAACCCTTAGAACCAGCGCTAGATTTCCTCAGCCGGAGAGAACAGACTAACCAGTTTACACAACGAGGCTTGAAGCTCACCCAATATCCAGGTCTCCAAGTCCGTATTATTGGCGGCCATGTGAATCATTGCGTGAAAGGCGCCGACACGCTCCTGCAGAAAGTGAAGGGGGACTTTATTCCGAGCGCTGTCTTCCTTGGATCTGAATATCGCCATTGTGTCTTCGGGGGTAGCTTTAGCTGGGGTTTCTTGGTGAACAGTAGGGAAAAAGTATAGCTTACAATTATCAAATATCATATATCGTGCCTGGTGCACCAATACCTCACCTATCTTCGTTCTATCATCCCTGGGCTTATCGGGCTTCCCGCTGGGGATATGAGGTGCTAGGCGTTTGAAATCTGAGAGTCTAATGCTCTCGCTTTCTGCACCTAGTTGAACCTTGGGGCTGGATTTCCCGAGGTATGGAAACGATACAAAGAGGAAGAACCTATCCCCCGATAAACCTGACTTGGGCAATCCGGATGGCTCTTCGAAACGTGCCCGTAATAAAACGCCTGTCCTAAAACCCTCACAGCCGGGTAATTCTAGAACTCTTTTTGAATAGGCCTCTTTGAACGTAGTTGGATTTGGAAGGTCGAGCTTTTCCGCAATTGAATTTAGTAGATTTTCATCCTACTTCGGGTAAGTAATTGATGTAAAATATGAGATCACAGCTGCGCCACAAGGCAACTTACGCTTGTATCATAACATTGAGCAAAGTCTCTTAAAAAAGAAAAGGAAAGGAAAAGCACAAACATTAGCACCCGAAGAGCAAATCCCTTTCACAGAAGCTAACAGGCGTATGAGGCGCAGCATCGCTCATACTCCGGATAGGTAACGGGAAAGTAGATTCCTGGAAGATAAACTTACATGACACCCAACCTTGGCCCCCGGGACAGCGCCAGTCGGGGCTCCTTAGTTATTTGGTCAAATTCCCTGGAGCCTACGACCTCATCTCTGGGCACGCGGAAAAATATATCATTGTCTGAACACAAGTGTCCGAAGGAAGGGCCGCCCCGCTCAGCCAGAGGATTTCCATCCACGCGGCTCCGATGGCATGGGTCTAAAGAATAGTCAAAAATCACGGCGTCGTCCTCTTTTCTGCTTTCTAACTTTTGACTCGCGAGCCTGTAGCCTGGGCATAGGCAATCTCGCACATGGTAAAAGTCGTTTTGCCCACCGATGGTTTCCCAACCAACAAAGCAGGCAGTTGATTCTTGAGGGAGCGCTGGGGGCGACGGTGACGCCTGCGGCAATTGGTGAAGGTGTCCCGGTGAGGGTTCGAGGGTCGGGCGGGGCTCTGGCGAAGCAGGAGTGTTAGTGTCTGGGTCGGCCATCCCCACTAAGCGGCAATGGGTTTGGGGGTCGATCGTCGGTTGGGGGGCCCCATTCTTATGTATCTTGGAAATTCGAAACTATGGGACCAAACGTGACGGTATGCCGTTGGAGTCGCTTGCTCTGGCAAGGGCTGGAATTCTCTCATGTCTCCCAGGGGGACTTAGCGACTCGTCCCGTCCCATTGGTTCCCGGGCCTTTTGCGGCGCACAATACCGGGGCTGCAAAACAAGTCTGGAAATCCGCCATCTCCAACCCCTAATCTCCGGGTTCAGAAACAACAATCCCGGAGAAGAGTAGCCGATTTTCGAGGGGCCCTACGGTACTCGAGTACGGCAGTAAATTTCCGGCCGCAGCGCTCAACGTGAGCTCGAGGAAACCTGGCGGATGACGAGCAGGGGTAGCTGGCGGGGCAAGAGGCTGAATCCACCATCAAGCCGGAAAAGCACCCTTGTTATCCAGTTTCGTGCCAAGCCATGATCGTCAGGACACCAACACCCAGACGGGGAGTACCGCCCAAAACCCTAACCCGCATTTGCTCTAATGCATGGGCAGGTTCCGGTGCCGACGGGGCCGTGAGACGAGCTATTCGGGGTTCGAGATCACGATGAAGGAAAAAGGGGCGACGGAAGCACTTCACTTGGTTAAACTATGGACGACCTCCGCCCTCTTATAGCCATTCCTTACCACCAGTTCCAGAGCCTTGTGCTGTCGTTCGAGGAGTTTGGCAATCTACTGTCGCTGCCCAACCTGCTGCCGGTACTGTAGAGTACCAAGCCCGCTTCACACAGGTACCGGTAAGATGAAGAAAGCCAAGGCAAGTGCCTTCCTGGCAGTGCGACAGTACGGGGCTGCACTCGGGTAGCATAAAAGCCCGTATGAAAAGTACAATCTCCTTCATTCCACGATGGAGATTGTAGATTTCACGGGATTACAATACACGTGTATGGTAAGTTGGTTAACGGTAGTGCTAGGCCGTCGTTTGTCGGGTTGCGTGAGGTGAAGTGGGGATTGATTTATCGTCTTCTCCAAAGGTTGACATGTCTCACTCTCCTCTCACTCTCCTTGAACAGGGTACAGTACCTGTACCGGTACTGGGTTGCCTGTACGGTAGCGTAAAATCTCCTTTACGAGTAAATCCAACATCACTCACCGGGCTCGGATCTCCCCGACGAGGGACAAAACACGGCAAGCGGTAAGTTAAATCTCGATTCTAGAACCCTGCGCTCCCCCAGTACCAGTATCGTACCGGGAACTATCATGAGTACTCGAGCACAGCATCCCTTGCTCTTTAGGCGAGTGGGCTACTTTTTCGCTGCCCTCCGGGCTCGATTCACGATTAAATATGCGTGTGGATCTTCAATACTCGAAACATCTTTCAACGAAAACCCTTCTTCTATTTCTCTCTCCCCCCCTCCTCTCTCTCTACCGTATTTTCCAGCCGGTTTGGCACCCTCACCTCACAAGAGTGCTATCCCATGGCCTGCTGTGCGGCAGCATTACCTCCGAGCTTCCTCTTCTCCACTCTCACCTTTTTACTTACCCCTGACATGGGAGTCTTATCTTCTTTCCATGAGACGGATTTCTCCGCCATCCTACTTGAGCTTCGGTCTTTTTGTTCTGTTAGTTGGTGTCTGTTGGCGGTTAGGCAAGATATGAAAAGCCCCAACCTCGGAATCTCGGCTCGGAGTATGCTATTTAGCCCTCCTATCTCCAAAAAGAAAGGGACTGAGAATACAGCATAGACGATACCCAACTGAAATAGTCCAGCCGGCTTCGCCAACCTCTTGACTCAATCGGCGGTTTTGATTCTCCTCTTGTTTTTCCGGTGGCCCGCCGCAATCTATAGGGTAAAGAAAACCAACGCCGGTAATTTCCTGAGGGGAGGTATTATTGTCGAGGGACTGATAAACCGCGCAGTGGTACAAGGGAGGAATAGCTCTGGACTTTGGCATTTTGGAAGAAAAAGGTATGACTAGAAGCTTTGTTGAATTGTCTGTATCCTCTCATCACTCTAGTAAATTTACGGTAAAAGCGGGTGTATAAAGAAACGTGATCGAATCATTCCGACCCCACCAGAGATTATTGCACATCTCTCTCTTCCTCCACGCATGCCCCCATTCCCCTGTACTCGTACACTCCGGTTTTAACAAGGAAAGACGTGTCTGGGTGGCTTCTTGAATTACTAGGGCTCCAGGACCCACGGCGCTCCCGGATCTACCGTACTCCTATCACTTCGAGACTCAACCACAACACCCAATCGTTCTTCTGCGTCCCCGGGCACGTCGACACGAGAGCCTACACGGCAGCTACCTTCAACCACTTTGCTAGGATTCTAGCCGCGCTCAGGGGTTTAAGAAGATATTCTTTCCGGAGGACTTCCGGTATGGTGTGGAGGTACAAATTTACGCTCGGCCTCCGACATAGGACCCTACAGAAGCATGCCGGTACAGTATACGGAAAAACCATATCCCTATAAATACTTTGAAACAATCCAAAACAAATCCCGGACATTCACTAAGTTCTCCAACTAAATTAACAAGCAACGTCGATCCAATCGGCCACACACCACTCCGGTAATCCTAATTCCCGCCCCCTAGTCTACCGTACACTAGTTGCGAATTTGTATTCCTATTAGCAGGAGATATCGCGGATCCGTCTCTGATCAGTTGCTATTCGTGTTATAGAAGTTTCACGAGCACGTTTGTCGAGCTCCTCATAATGATGGGGGGGTAGAGGATCCTACAATATTCTTCCCAGGCAAGAAGATCCCGAACATTGTCGGTATAAGTTTGTTTGCCAACACACATTCCCATAGGCGATTCACCATATACTGTATTTTTCTAGTCCCCGTGATCTGGTGCCTCTCGCCCGAAACGAGTACATACCGGAATCGGAGGAGGTGGATCCTATCTAGAGGAATTCAAGGTCCAGGAGGTCAGGTTCTGGTTTCGGAGGGGTAGTTGACAGTCGTCAACCTTTATACCAAGCAGAAGCTTGATTAGGGTTCTGAGTATCCACATAGCGAATGAGCTAGCTAGTATAGTACCAGAAGCAGTAGTATAAGGGCTTCTTTGGCGTCTCTCTATAAAAAATATGGTCATAAAAAATGTGATGGACATACCAAACAGGCCCTAACTTCAATATGCTCAATAGAATAGGGAATTTAGTTCAAGGCTTTAAGATATCACAATAACACTACCTGTACTGAATGTGGGACCAAAGGCCACTCACTACGCGGCCTTTAGCCTTGTCTGCTCGCATCCCGCATGGTATAGGTGTCGACTGTGGGGCCGCGTCGCAATGTATATACACGACCTTCGAGGGTTCAAGAGGACACTTCCCGGGATACCACGCCCGCAAACCCGAAAGACGCCCGAAAAAAAAACCCCCTCTGATTTAATCTGCTATAATATATACGCCTCCAGGGGGGTACGGCACCTTGATTGAGAAGGTAGAAACAGACTGACAACACCCCCACTCTGCCTAGAATATGTAACCAAGGTGGCCGATTGGCCTGGGGTTAAGCCATTGGAGGCTCTCTTATCGGATTATCGGTAAATATAATAGTATTGGTGCACAATAGGTCCAGTTTTACATGTCGACAGAATCGGATACATGATACCCGTTAATGAGATCCAATACTTCCAAGGCGATACACTCTCAGGAAAGCACTAGCCCTTCCGGGGAGTTTGCTCCTGGACCAAGAGTCTAGAGCCCCACCGGAGTTAACGAGGGATTCCGCAGTATTCTTCCGTAATTCTCGGTCTAGGTGTGGTCACAGAGCTAGTATGGGTTACGGTCAGAAGCCTACGCCCCTGTGATACCTTCTCCTTTGCCCCAGTACCGTTCACGAAGCGCATGGCGAGGATGCCGGATGGATTTGCCAACGAATAGATTTTCCATGATGGTGTCGACATGAAGATTTATCAGGGCTTCCTTCCTCCCGCCATTTTCCTCGTTGACCATGGAATCAGAGTCATCTCTCCATCCATCCGATTATTGGCAAAACAAATCTTAAGGGGTATATATACCTCAAGTTGGCTAGAGTTTCATCTACGATTATGATGGGCTCGAATATCTTCGCGGCTGGAGGGATTTGCGTTCGCCCATCTGCGCAAGCTCTGCGGTAGAAACATGTACAGCCGCCCGCCCGCCACTGCTCCACGTATGAACCATCACTTGTCGATCGCATGTCCACATAAAGCTTTCGTCTACCCAAGTTTGAAAATCCACTCATTCGCCCGACCCCGGAATAGTGAATACGGGATTCGAGTCTCCATAGAATCCCCAGGATGGGGGTTGCCGATTTCACATGTTCCCTCACTTCCCTTTGCAGCAGATGTTAGCCTCTCTCTACCCAACGTAAGTATTATTATGGAGCATCGACAGGAGTGGAAGGATGACGATAGAGAGGAAGAAGAATAAATGAGGGTGTGTTTTGTATTGTCCCTGTGGCCTCCTATCTTTTGATCCTTCCGGTGGGGCGGTGGTTTAGGTAGAATAGCAAGAGTGCTCTATTCGTACGAAGCCTAAGCCACACAATGACCCCCCAGATACCCAACGAGTCCCTTCCTGAACCTAATTCCTTCTCTGGAACACGACTTGGAGGTTTGTTGACCGAGGGGCTTGCAACTATGCTGGTGAGTACTAGTGATTTTCAACTGTAAGAATGCGAAAGGGGACTAGCTCGATCAACTCATTAATGGAAACTGCCTTCTTTTTTCCTTCTTTCACCCTAGTGCTACTAACTTCAACTCACCCGGGATTAGCCGCAGATTTGTTAGCCAACCAGGAGCGCGCACCGGGTGTTAAGGGTATTGTACCAGCATCATCAATCTGTTCCTAACACTTTTATGTACGTTGGTCTGATTCTACTTAAAAGAGGATGGCTTCTGTTGCAAATAGTCTGCGCTATTACAAGTCTACTGTGAGGAGCCAGCTGATGACATGACCATAAGTTTGGTCTTGAGCAAAGTGGTTGTTAGACTGATGTGGTCTCCCACAAAGGACGCAGTATATGGGTAGGGTTCAGGTGTAAAGTGGTTGAATTGAATATGGATTATGGAACTAGGGCTCTGGAGCGACCTCTATATCTCGGCTAGAACCAACACACACCAATACAACTCCACTCTCATCTCCTTTCTCCACTGAAAGGTCTCGTCCTCGCCTCCCGCCACGGTCAGCCCTCAACTGCCACCACATCTCCTGTTGCCCGATCAATAGTTTCTTGAGCCAAGAATCCCAAAAAAATAATCGCTAAACCTCGGCCCATTACTAAAGCTCATCCTAAAAAATTGTAGGGAGCACCAGCAGGCTCCAAGTAATTCTTGATTCCTCCTGTGATCTTTTCCCGACTCCTCTGCATCGCCCCAGGGGGGAAGAGGTGGCGAGAAACTTTGTGATTCTATGTTTTTCCCGGAGCCGTCTTGCAATGTATCTTACCCGCCCAGTTTCCATGGTGCGGCTAGGATAATTAAAAGGGCCCTTGTTTGTTTGTTTTTTGCGGCGCCATGCAAAAATTCTCCGGACATTTCTTGTAGGATCTTAGGGAGGACGAGTTATGCAGAGATTTAGGGAGTGGAACAAGATGAGGCTTTAGCGATATGGAGGCACTAGACCAAAGGCACGATCATATACAAGTACTGTACTCGAGTACTTCTAGGTATGATAAAATCGTAACTCGACAAAAGAAACCTCCTACAACATTCCCCGTGAGCCTTTGCAACTACAACCTGCTCATCCCCTTTCGCTAGCAGCTTCCTCAATTTCAACAAACTCTAATAACATTGTTCACCCCCCCCAATCGTGATTTCCCTTTCGAACAAATAAAAACAGGCTTGCCCACCTCCCGGCTTCCCCTACCCATCCTTTTTCGGATCACAATGGTTACCACTGCTGCTCTCTTTGCGGCAGAGCAGAGTTGGCGGTCTGGTTACCCACGTCCCCTACTTCCCTATCCCGGCTATTTGGTACAAGTGCCCGACTGCTAGACCCCGAAGCAGGGTTCGGAGGCATCGCGGTTTGCGGCTGCGCGGCTGGGACTCAATCCTTTGCGTTGGTACCACTGCTCGCGCCCTGGTTCTCGGGATCACTTTCTCTTCTCCTACCAGATAGACTTAATTTCTCCCAGGCATAACCAAATCCCTTTTCAAGATATCCTTTGGGCCTCTCCATGAACTGACGTTTCCAGCAGACGACTAGCAGTGTTAGCAGCAATACCCCAGCCAATACTGGGCCTGTGGCCAGCCAGAAATCGAGGAGGGAATGATCCTTGTCCTCCCATTCCTTTATGTTTCCCATGCTGTAATACTAATAAGGTTTTCTTGTCAGAAAATACTCATATAACAGACAGGTGGTAAAATACCTCAGCACAAAAGCTGAGAGGAAGAAACGCTGTAGTCACAATTGCGAAACCTGATAAGGTCTGCACTTGCTGCACAACTTGGGCCTGGGTTCGCTCGATAGCCTCCTTAGTGGCTTCCATAGCCTTCTTTGCTTCCTGAGCCGTTCTCTCAGAGGGAGCTGCTTCAGCTTGGTCAGACTTCAAGAATCCGGAAAGCTGTTAAGTCATTAGCACCCCTGCTGTAAGCTTGGGTCGGAGAACTATACAATCTTCCTTTTGATATCCGTATTCTCTACCAACTCCTTAATTTTCCCAATGAATGCTTTCCTCTCCCGAACCACCTCATCAATAGTGTCCAAGGTACTCGGCCATATCTGCTCACGATTTTCTGAAAGGACAGGGATCAGGACGGTATTCCTGTGAAAGGGATTTCGACTTCCCACCCTCCGACCACTAGTTTTTGTTCGGTAGCTTGTCAAAAACATGCTGTGTAGATCTTGGAGTACGGTAATCTGCCGTTCAGCTACACTGATAGCCGCAAATAAGGATGTAGAAAGGCGATTAATGGAGGTGAGGAGGCCTCGGCCTCTCTGCCGTCTCTCCTGGGCATCGACCCCCTCCTTTCCTTCGTCTGATATCATTTGGTCGATATCGTCCTCCTAATCGTCCTCAAAAATCAACGCTAGATTCCTTTTGCCAAAGGTGAGAATAGACTAACTAGTTTGTACAAGGAGGCTTGAAGCTTCACAAATGTCGACAACTCCAGACCCGTGCGATTTGCGATCATATGAACCATCGCACGAAAGGCGCCGATACGCTCTTGAAATCGGTGAAGAGGCACTTGATTTCTGGCAGGGTCCTCCTTAGATCTAAAGGCCGCCATTGTGTCTTCAGAGACCACTTAGCAAGGATATTTGGGTTAACAGCAGGAAAAGAGGTATCGCTCACAGTTATCAAATATCATGTATCGTGCCTGATGCACTAGTACCTCCTCTATCTCAATTCTACTCCCCCCAGTAATCCTACCCCCCCCATGCCTCTCATAAACCCCCAGACCTTTGAAATCTAAGAGTCTAACGCTCTCGCTTCTCGCACCCAACGGGATCTCCCCGTTAGGCTCTCCGAAATATGGATATGATACGAAAAGGGTGAATCTGGTTTCTGATAAATCTGACCCGGATGACTCCAATAGTCTTTTTGAGGGTACCCGTAAGGAAACACCGGTTCTAAATCTTCCATGGCCGGGCAGTGCTTCAACTCTTTTCGAGTGTTCGTCCCTAAAAGTGGCCCCACGTTCGGTGATGAGGCGGAGTTTACCGGCCATCAAATTTAATAAATTACCATCCTACTTGCGGTAAGTAACTGCTTGAAAGATAAAATTACGGCTGCACCGTATAGTAACTTACGCTCGTATCATAACATTGGGGAAAATCTCTTGGGACGAAAAAAAATCTCAAGTTAGCATGTGAAGTTGAATGCGATTCTCATAGAAGCAAGCAGGGTGTATGCGGCGCGGCGTTATCATAGCCAGAAAGGGTTATAGGAGGGCGGAATCTTGGAAGATAAACTTACATGATACCTAACCGTGGCCCCTGTGACGGCATTGGGCGTGGTTCTCTGGCTTGGTCAACTATTTGCTCGAGCTGGTCGGATCCCATGAGCCCATCCTTGGGCACTCGAAAGAATACATCATAGTCCGAATCCTCATAGTCCGCATCCCCAAAATCCTCGTCTCTGGCACTCAGATAATCCGGGTTTAGTGAATAGTCAAATATCACGACATCGTCCTCCCCTCTCTCTCTTAGCTTTTCGCTCACAAGGCTGTGGCTGGGGTTCAAGCAATCTCCCTCGTCGTAACACTCTCGTTGCCCACCAATGGTTTTCCAACCTGCAGACGGCTGTGGTGGTTGGTGGGTAGCAGGGCTCGTTCCAAGGTCTGTCATCCTGAAGAAGTGAGAAGGGGGGGTTTGAGGGAGGAAAATGAAAGCATGTTCCGAGCTTCTTTTATCTAGGGTGCGTTGGAGGGCCCCATTCTTATATAGAGCGTCCAAGGCAGTCAAAAGACTCACAACCCCGGCCGCTCTGCTCGGGGCATTCGACTTCCTCAGGTTGGCGACTGCGGCTTGCGGGAAAGGGAGGCGCAATCAAATTCAGAGGGGGGAACAGCCACCCGGAAAGCCAAATCTCCGCATTGACATGGCACTCCCGCAGGTGGCTGCTGCGGGTACGGTACCACACACGTCAATTTGTCCTATCCCAGGAAATGGAGAAATCACTTGGTGCTAGCCATAGCGTACAGGGTACCATCTTGTGAGAGTCTCCTCCCCCGGCAACGGGGTCTAAAGGCCGCAGTAAACTTTGTTTACAATACCGGATAGATAACGACGCTTTAAAGCTAAGCTACATTTTCTATCCTCTAGGAATTTACCAACTCTCCCCTCTCCAGCATCTCATTTGGGTGAGTAAAACAGATAAGATACTCTCTTTAGCTCCTACAAAGAGAGAGGTGAGGCGGAAGCCCTCCCCTCATCCTCAGTTCGCAGTCGCATTCACGGTTTTGCCATTCTTACTCACCGCCTCCTTTCTCAGAATTGCGGACGCCGCCGCACACAACGAACTAGCCGTGGGAACGCACCTTGTGCGAGATGGAAGCAAGCCTGAGGGCCGACACATGAACACTTGATTGACAGTGGTGCAGTAATGCCGGTATTAGTACAGTATTGGGGCAAAGGAAGATATCCATTGATAGTGAAGCAACAGGTTAGGGTTAAAGGAAAACTCTCATTAAGCATTCTCGGAGAGAGACAAGGGCCCGGTATGCTCCGCTCAACCAGAATGCCATCTTGAGGGCGCTTTAGCACAGCATAACAGCCATGCCGTCGCTTACTCTGCTTGTGTGAGCCAATGATGGGAGGAGGGAAACTGCTGCTCCCTACAGGTAATGCTTGTGGTCTAACTCAGAACTTGACTGAAACTTAAACAACGGCTACGCCTAGTCTTTCCGGGAAGCATTGAGTTTAAGCCGCGTCCTAGGGGTTACTTGATCTCTAGATCATAACCGTCATGAATATTCTTTTACATCCTTATTTTTAAAAATATAGCTATCCTCGATATCTACCCGTGCGATAATTCTTTAATAGGGTGTTTTAGGGGTTGTCTGATGGACAAGGCACAATTAGCAAAGTGAATTTTGTAATTGAATGAGAAAACAACATTTGTTTGCTTTCCCGCTGAAGACATATCATAGCGGTTGTTTTGGAAATCCCGGCATTAGATCCCTGTACTGTACTGTAGAGGGGGGCGTTTGGGTGTTTTCCGCAGAACTGGATTGCTGTCCCCGCAGCAAGCCTTCGGGGGATTATCCAACCATTTTCCACCGCACTGAGCCAAGCGCGGCTGTGGCAGTACCGGTACGGCAACCAATCGGTACCGAACCTGCCACAAGTTGACGAGTGGATGGCGGGACAGGGAGGCTAGCAAACAAGCACTTCCTCCCGTTCACCCATCCGCCCAGTTTCGCAATGCCCGAGGTGGGGACAGCCTGATGGCCCGCCTTGAGCACCGTATGCAATCACTGCGGCCGACTAGAGCATAAAAATCTGCCTGCATGTGGAGATACCCGTATACGAGTAATCCTGCGGTCATAATCAGGATCTCGATCTCGACGTGTCCCGTACCTGTATCTGGACATCAGAGATGTGGCGAAATTTTTCTTTTTCTCAAGCCTAGGAGTACAGTACAGTACAGTAGCGCTGATTAGAACCTCCTGTTATATTAAATCTCCCTTCCTTTTCCATTCTTCTACATTAAAATCCCGCCCGTGAGGCCTTGTTTTTTAGATTTACCTGCTGGCAGGAGGGGGCGGGGCAATGCTGTGCAAAAGTAGGATTGCATCCCGCATCTTTAGACTAACGAGAGCCCCACCGAAAGAACTCGAATAAACGATCCTTGTGCTAGGATGTTGGACTTGCCTCTCCTAGTAAGGTCTGGTGTTTTTTTCTTTTTTATTTGTCTCGGAGAGCAGACTTTTTGGTGCGTTTCTCACCCCTTTTCCAGGCGAGGAAATTCTGGACTTCATAGCACAAGGATCGTTTATTCGAGTTCTTAATTTACGGCATTTTAGACTGAACCACTCTCCCCTCTCTGCTCCATTGACCAATCATTGTCGGGTTCAACCCGACCCTAACCCCTCTCGACCCCGCTTCCCGCTCTGAACCTCCACTGCGCACGAAAGGAATTAATAAATTGGTCGGAAAAAGGAACATTAGACTAGGGGCGCTGGCAAGAGTTCACTTGCCGAAGAAAAAAGAAATAATCGCCACCACCCTGGCACAATTACGGAAAGGGTAGCTTATCGTGCACTACAGTTTTCGGAGCCAACAATTAGTAGTAAGGACGCTAGGTCTAATATATCATTCCAATAAGGGTATGAAAATAGCTATTTAGGTCGGGGTTCAATACGAAATTGCCTTGGTTTCTTACTCATTCTGAATGCTTCCCGGTACAATATATAGTTTAATGCCGGATATAGTTTATTGACTGAAGCATGGCCTACGAGACCCAAAAACAAAACTTCAATAAACCCCAATGGACAAATAAGCGATAGAAATCACGAACAAACATCTCATAACCGAGTGCAGTCCATAAAATCGTGAAGCCGGATTGGCGTGTCTCATAGGATGTAGACAGCCGACCCATTCACCAGGCCAGCTCCCCTTTCTTTAAGTTTCTCATTGCTCTTCCATGTTGCAGAAGAGGATGCGGCAGGTAGCAGTGGGGTGTCAGCCATGGTGTTTTTATCTCAAGGCGAGCCGCAAACATATGAAGCTCCGAGTTCGGTCTTGCTAGGTAGGATAATGAGATTGTGGTATTTGGCCGGGTTCAGACCTTCCCAAACGGGAAGATGGAAAGCGGCGTCAGGAAAATAGTTCTACCGAGCTTGGTAAAACCCCACCAAGGTACAAGCATGGTACTAGTGCTACCGAAGAGCGAGTCTCGAAAAACCTACCGTACCCGAGCAGTTGGAAATCACAATAATCCTATAGGGCCATGATACTATAGCAGAAACTAGGATTGGAGCTATGTACGGGTATTATGAGATGTACTGGAGTAGGGTTCACTCCGATTTATGAATACCCAGCTGTTGGAGTGCAGTGCAGTACAGTACTGTGGCATCTAACTAGCACACGACCCCACAGGGATTAAGTCTGGGGGGAAACGCAACTCCGGTCTTGCAAAGAGGGCCTTCGGTGGCCGACCCCAGGCGCTAGGAGGGACTCGATCGGGGCTTCTAGGGATTCTGATCCAACGCGGGGGGTTTTCGGTATCTTGGTTGGGCAAAAAAAAGTAGGAAATATTTAAATTATCATGGCAAAAACGCAGATAAACTAGTATGCGCAATGAGGTGACCACTTCTCGATCGCTTCACTCATATGCCCAACCTGATAGGGGGTGGCCCTTTTTTTTTTTCAGATCGTATAGTATTTCCAAGATTCTGAAGGGATGGGACCTATACTTGGCTCACATCTGCTAGCGGGGTAGAGAGGATTACCGCTTGCTCCGGAATATTTTACCTAATACCATTTACTCCCTTTTTCTATCATTATGGACGCCCTTGCCCCTCACTACGAGTTGAAAAAGATCCTCTTTTTCTATTTTTTCAGAGATTCTATCTGATGATAACGCAGGTTCGAAAAGGAGGGTTCCAACATCACCAATGGTTTTTTGATCCGACCCCCTCTTTATTGCGGCATTTGCCAACTCCAACACCATCTCCCTCACATTACTGCACATCTGGAAATTGCCACCTGCTCACCCCGTGCAGTGCAATATCATCGTTATCTACCGGCACCCCGAGAGGCCGACCAGAATGACAGAAATCTGGAATCAGGGATCTAAAATCCAACACCCCACCCAAAAAAGCTGATCAGCCCCTCTAGGGCAAAAACAATGACTTTCGCTTACCGGAGGGCAACCCCCACAACATAATGGCATCATAGGAGTACCCTCGCACAAGGTACTATCATTGAGTTGTTATTTGTACTATGATATATTCGATAAGTATACCCTTGGCGAAACCTACACTTAACCTGCCGCTTTAGAAAGCAAAGACGTAGGGGTTGTAACGGGGCTCTCGAGCACGAGCCTAACCGTAGACCCTTCTGGCAGAGGGCAGTGGATTGTAATTCATCCTGGAGCTTTCGGGAATGATGGAGGTAGTTTCTTCTCTTCTGCGCTAATCATGATTTGCGGAGAAAGTTCTCCGTATATGTCTTTCCTTTATTATTACCGCTGGGGGTGTGGAGGACTGAGGACACGCATGGAGGAGACAAGAGATGCGTTGTCGTCCACGGAAGGATCTGAATGCTTTCATGATGCTTTACTTATGTGCCTACCATTGCCGGTAGTTTAGAAAAGAGGCCTAACGAGAGAATAAGGTTCCTAGCCACGCCTCTCCTACCATCCCTCCATACTGGACAAGCCTTAGCTTGACTAGCTCCTTGGACCGCTGAAAGATTTGCCCTCTCTCATAGATCCTCCACAGCCCTCAAGACAAAATTATGGGGGAGGATAATGGTGTCTTATACCCCACCCCGGCGATACATAAGGCTCGTTCTAATAGTTCTGGAAGAGGAAGGAGTCCCTTGGCAAAGTACAATGAATAACATTTCTTGAGTGCCCCCGGAGTGCCCATTTTTTTAAGACTTTAGGAAGGGAGTTTTCGGGTTTAGCACTTGTCCTGTGTGGTATTGCAGGTATTCAGTGTAAGTAATAATATTATTCTAGCAAGGAAGGTATCTTTTATTAATTCCCTGGTACCATGCTCCAGTGATAGTACATAGGCTAGCCAACTTGTTCAATTTCCTCACCCCAAGTAGGACCTAGACCTAATGCCTACTAGGATGAGATCGCAGTTGTCAAAATGACACTTAGCACGGTTACCAAATGTTTCCCATAAGGGAGCC